GGGACCCCGGATTTGGGGGACCCCGGAGTTGGGAACCCCAGATTTGGGAACCCCGGATTTGGGGGACCCCGGATTTGGGGGACCCCGGATTTGGGAACCCCGGATTTGGGGACCCCGGATTTGGGGAACCCCGGATTTGGGGACACTGGGTTTACCTGTCATAAATGGGGCCTTTGAAAGTCGGGTCGTACTTCTGTGGTGTTCCTGTGGAGAGGAACGGGAATGGGAATGGGAACGGGAATGGGAATGGGGATGGGAACGGGAGTGGGGACAGGAATGGGAATGGGAATGGGAATGGGAACGGGAATGGGAACGGGAACGGGAATGGGAATGGGAACGGGAACGGGAATGGGAATGGGAATGGGAATGGGAACGGGAACGGGAATGGGAACGGGAATGGGGACGGGAATGGGAACGGGAGTGGGGACAGGAATGGGAACGGGAATGGGGACGGGAATGGGAACGGGAGTGGGGACAGGAATGGGAACGGGAATGGGAACGGGAATGAGAACGGGAATGGGAATGGGAGTGGGAACAGGAGCGGGAACGGGAATGGGAATGGGAACGGGAATGGAAATGAGAACGGGAATGGGAATGGGAACAGGAGTGGGAATGGGAACGGGAGCGGGAACGGGAATGGGAATGGGAACGGGAATGGAAAGGAGAACGGGAATGGGAATGGGAACAGGAGTGGGAATGGGAACGGGAGTGGGAACGGGAATGGGAACAGGAATGGGAACGGGAATGGGAACGGGGATGGGAACGGGAACGGGAATGGGAATGGGGACAGGAATAGGAATGGGAACAGGAATGGGAACGGAAATGGGGACGGGAATGGGGATGGGAATGGGGATGGGAATGGGAATGGGAACAGGGACGAGAATGGGAACGGGAACGGTGCTCCTCATCCTCCTGGCCCCCCAGCACACAGCGAGCAGAGCAGAGGAAGCCAAACGCTTCCGAAAGAAACCCTCGGGCTGAGCGGGATCAGGAGTGAAAACACCTCCCGTTCCCTGCTGCGCATCCCGAGCTTGGAAACGACTCCCTGGGAAAAAACTCATTCCCAAAAACACCCCCGAAACCCCACGGGAAAACACCAAACCCCACGGGAAAACACCAAACCCCACGGGAAAACACCAAACCCCACGGAAACACCAAAAACCTGCGGCTCAGGGGGGGTCACTGGGGGGTCCCACGGACCCCCGGAGCACCCCCAGCCCCCTCGGGGCCTCCCCGGCGCCGTCCCGCTGCTCCGCTTTATTTTTAGGGTGGGACCGCAGCCAGCGTGGGAGCGGCCCCAAACGGGGGGGGTTGGGAATTTAGGGTGGATTTTGGGGGGGTCACGGCGGCCTCAAGGCAGGGATGTGTTTGTTTTGGGGTGTTTTGGGGGGGTTGTGGAGCTCGTTCCCTTTTTTTGGGGGGGGTTTCCCCTCTCTGAAGCCCCCCGGGGTGGGTGGGGGGGGTCAGAATTGGGGGACCCCCCCCAGGGCCGGCGGTGTCGGCGCGGCGGTGACGCCCCAGAAGCGCCGGAGCCGGTTTGTCCCGGCGCCGGCTCCGACCGGGCCGGTTCTGTGGCTGCCGGGGAGGGCGGCCCCAAAACCGCGACCTCCCCAAAACCGGGCACCCCTTCAAAGCCCCCCAAAACCGGGCACCCCCCAAAACCCAGCCCCCCCAAAACCGCGACCTCCCCAAAACCGGGCACCCCTTCAAAGCCCCCCAAAACCGGGCACCCCCCAAAACCCAGCCCCCCCAAAACCGCGACCTCCCCAAAACCGGGCACCCCTTCAAAGCCCCCCAAAACCGGGCACCCCCCAAAACCCAGCCCCCCCAAAACCGCGACCTCCCCAAAACCGGGCACCCCTTCAAAGCCCCCCAAAACCGGGCACCCCCCAAAACCCAGCCCCCCCAAAACCGCGACCTCCCCAAAACCGGGCACCCCTTCAAAGCCCCCCAAAACCGGGCACCCCCCAAAACCCAGCCCCCCCAAAACCGCGACCTCCCCAAAACCGGGCACCCCTTCAAAGCCCCCCAAAACCGGGCACCCCCCAAAACCCAGCCCCCCCAAAACCGCGACCTCCCCAAAACCGGGCACCCCTTCAAAGCCCCCCAAAACCGGGCACCCCCCAAAACCCAGCCCCCCCAAAACCGCGACCTCCCCAAAACCGGGCACCCCTTCAAAGCCCCCCAAAACCGGGCACCCCCCAAAACCCAGCCCCCCCAAAACCGCGACCTCCCCAAAACCGGGCACCCCTTCAAAGCCCCCCAAAACCGGGCACCCCCCAAAACCCAGCCCCCCCAAAACCGCGACCTCCCCAAAACCGGGCACCCCTTCAAAGCCCCCCAAAACCGGGCACCCCCCAAAACCCAGCCCCCCCAAAACC